CACAAGTTTTGCGAGAAAAAAATTGCAAATTTTTTGCAAAAAATTGCTAATTTTTTTAAACAACCTGTCAAAGGAAATTTGCACATTTATAGCCTTTCTTGATTAAAAATCAAGTTATTTAAAATTTTGAATTTTTTTTGCTTATTTGAAATGGCATGGTCAAGGGCTTTTTAAAAATGTATAATTTTTCAATTTTTTGGACAATTTTTTTTTGCAAGCATTTTTACTATATAACTGGATTTTGTGATAACAAATTCAGTTTTTGCAAGTTTGCATTTTTTTGCAGATTCTAAAAGTAGAGCAGAAGAGCTTTCCAATGATGTATCATTTGTCATATTTTGACATCAAACATGGGATTTAGAGGGGGGAGGGGTCAAATTAACCCCCGCCCCAGCATATCCTGGTTTTCAAGCAGGGATTGGGTTAATGAATGGTTTTTTTAATTCGTTAACAATGTAAAAATTAACGGATTCTGCCGAATTTTCCGTTATTTTTTTTAAATTTTCTGTTCGTACGTTAACGGAACGTTGCCCACCTCTAGTGTATTACTTCTTACAGAGAAAATCCAAACTTAGATTAAATATCAATTATTCAGACCCACTATAATACGATTTATATAGATAAGCCCACAATGGATAAGACTTCAGAGATGTCTGTAACCGAGTTTTCAACTCGGTCTTTTTACATTCTTGTGATTTCCTAAGGCTGTAAACATCTACATATGTTTTTTTTGTCACACCATATTTATCATTTTATCTGCAAATAAACACTAATGCACTGAAGAAGACAAAATGTAGGCTACAGGTTTAAACCAAATAGATTACATTAGCTGACAACAGAGAATTGGACCAATTATACAAGACGTTACAAGTGTCTCAAATATGACAGTGACACCGAAATTTTCTCACTTTAGTTGACATGTTTTCCAAGATTAAATAAAAAAGTGTAAAAACAGAAAATAAATAACACATAAAATTTTACTTATTTTACTGTAAGATTAGTACTTTATTCTAAAATTATCACTATCATTAATAATTTTGTCGGACACAAAAACTGAATTGACGTCAGAATACAGCTGTACTGAGAGTGTACAAATTCTACGTTGCCATCTATTGGTTTAAACTGACTCTTATTGAACATATTTGAATTTATATATACATACATATTATCCCAGCTTAGGGATGTTTTGAAAGAGGAAACCTGTGGTTTACGATAGGGTGTAAATATACTGGGATTAGAACATCAAAGTACTTGTGGAGAAGACTCAATTCCTTTAGAGCGCATTTTTACATATTTTTACAGTTGTAACGTTACTCTTGAAAATCTTTATCAATTTTGTCGTCTTTCTCTCTTAAAAATGTGTATTCTGTACATTTTCTTTCTTGATTCTGCTTTTTTAATCCTCAGTTAAATATTACCAATTTTCAGAGAACAAAATAATATATCTCCATCATTTTTGGTCATAATGAAATTCTTCTTCAGAGAGAGGGTTACTTAACATTTGGTATACAGTCCCTTTAAATCCTAGCTTAGGGATGTTTTGAAAGAGGAAAATGATTTAGATACCTTGCAGAGGTACGCAGCTTGAGAGAGTTCTTCCTCCATATGTTCTTGGAGCTTTCTAGCAGGTGTACAATGGTGTTGCATAATATTTTATCAAATCTATACAGGCTCACTATCATCCTCTTCCTCATTGTCTTCTTGATTACACAGGTGCACAAAAATATAAGTATTTTTGTCACACTCTTATAGAGCATACTTGAATTACCAAAAACAGACAAAAAAATATACTGTTTAAAAGTATCTACAATTCAATTCTATCACGTTTTGGTCTTTAATTCAACAATCTTACAGAGTTTTTCTACAATACTTATTCTTACGCCAGCTTTCACACATTCTAAATTATCAAATCTAACCATTATAGCGCTGAACTGAAAAGCTTTTTTGATGTTAAACTTTATGAATTACCAAAGCATTAATCTTCTGGTATGGTTTCTGTAAATTGCACTTATTTAAAAGGAAATAGGGCTTTAAATTAGAGATGTGCATTGTACTCATTAGTATTTATAAATGCTTTTTTAATTTGATTAAATGATTTTCATTCAATTGCAGGATAAAATTCTTAAACGAAGAAGTAAAACCATCTTATTCAAATAGAAAAAATGAGAGCATAAGATATAGTAAATTCTCTACAGTAAAACCAGTAATAACGAATACATCGAAAGAATTCATCAAATGTCGCATTCTCCACTTTCTGATAATGGAATGTTGCAGATCTTTAGCTTTTTAATTAAATGATTATATGGAGCTCTTTAAAACTGTTCTTGCATATTCATGGCTATTTATTTATTTTCGCAAATACTGAAATTTACGTAATATAGTATAAAACTCATTGAAAAATTGTCAAGACGACATTTGATAAATTCTTCCGATGTATTCGTTATTAAGGGTTTCACTGTATATGATAATTCTAATTAGTAAAATCTATTTTTAACCCTTCGAATTTCTATACTGGACAGCGCAACATTCTGTGGTGCATCGATACCCCGGAGGCGAATTTTTTCATCAGAAGTTATAATTCTTTTTACAGTTTTAAGAGCTTACAAGTTCAGTTTAAATGACTATAAGTAAGACCGCTACGCTAATATGGACTTTTCGGTAAAGCTAAAAAAAATAAAAGCTGTGGTTTAAAAAGTGCATAATTGAGCCCTAATATGGGCACTATCAGAAGGTTGAAACAAGGGGTGTAATAGGATTTTTTTCTGGCAGCAAAATATTAGCTGTAACTAATGAATGGCCAGGGCTAGTAAACACACAGTTGTAAGGATTCCATGGCTTTAAGAAGATTAGGCTTGAGTGCACTGCCACCTTGCTAAGGTATTAGAGACCTTTGCAATTCTTTAGTTTAGGAATTAGAGGGACCGTTCAATATTGTTAAATAGTTTTTAGAGGGACCGTTCAATATTGTTAAATAGCTTTTAGAGGGACCGTTCAATATTGTTAAATAGTTTTTAGAGGGACCGTTCAATATTGTTAAATAGTTTTTAGAGGGACCGTTCAATATTGTTAAATAGTTTTTAGAGGGACCGTTCAATATTGTTAAATAGTTTTTAGAGGGACCGTTCAATATTGTTAAATAGTTTTTAATTTAGTCCTTTTACCAATGTATTGTAAAAAGGGAAAAATTTCGCGAAAAAAATTAAGATTTTGAAGAAAACACGAAAATTTTCCAAAAAATACAGAATTTTTAAGAACAAATACAAAATTTTTGCGAAAAAGACTCACTTTAAAGAGGGATTTATCCGCGAGCCAAATTGATGGATTTACACAAAGTATAAAAATAGATTTAAGAACGACTAGGAGACATTAGACAATTCATAGATTTGCTTGAAAATACTTTTTTGACCGTGAAGATCTTTCCTCATAAAACACAATATAATATCTACAACGGGAAGAATCTCAATAATTCGGAAACTTAAAAAGATAGCTGGTAAAATCAAATTCTTTTCATCAAACATTATTTTTATGACATAATAAAACTTCAAATATTGGGCTATCAGAGCAGAGAATTCCACAAGTTCTTTTAACCCTATTCCTGCTGGGGGGGGGGTCAATTTGACCCCCCCCCTTTAGTTTTTTTACATAACTCAAAAAGTATTGGTCTGAGGCTGTTGAGATTTTCTGACTTTTCCTACATAACCAAAGCTCTCCCTTTAGGCCTAAAACCGGGCTTTAATACTAACTGCCTGAGTCCTTAGGCACACTGCCTGAATGACTGCTTTTTCCTGTAAAAAACTAAATCTTTGTTTTGACCCACTTCCACTTGTCAGGTTTTGATAAAATTTAGCTTTTTGGAAAGCCTTTGCCATAAGGAAACGAATTGCACAAGATTTAAGAAAAAAATTGCAAATTTTTTGCAAACAACCTGTCAAAGGAAATTTGCACATTTTTAGTTTTTCTTGATTAAAAATCAGGTTATTTTAAATTTTGCAAAAATGTTTGCATATTTGAAATAGCATGGTCAAGGGCTTTTCAAAAATGTATAATTTTTTATTTTTTGGACAAATTTTTTATTGTAAACATGTATTACTATATAACTGAATTTTGCGATAAAAAATTCTATTTTTCAAATTTGCAATTTTTTTGCAGATTCTAAAAGTAGAGCACAAGAGCTTTCCTATGATGTATCATTAGTCATATTTGGACATCAAACATGGGATTTAGAGGGGGGGGGGGGGGTCAAATTTTACGCCTTTTGCGAAAATATTTTCGCATTTTCGTGAAAGTTTCGCATTTCAATCGAATTTTCGCATTTCGCGAAATTTTCGAATTTTCGCGAAATTACACTTCATTTGTTTTCGCATTTTTTCGCGAAACGTTTTGTTCACTGGAAACCCTAATTTTAAAATATCTAGTGTTATTTTTGTAACCGTTGCATTATCGATTTTACAATTTGAGAGTTTTAATCTGTGACAAATAAGATTTCAAAGAAATCTCAGTGACCAATAAGAATTCAATGAAATCTCAATAACAAATAAGAATTCAAATAAATATTCGTGACCAATGAGAATTCAAAGAAATTTTATTGACAAATAAGAATTCAAAGAAATTTCTTTGACCAATAAGAATTCAAAGAAATATTGGTGACCAATAAGAATTCAAAGTAAAATTAGTTACAAGTAACAATTCATATTTATATTTCAGTTAACAATAAGAATTTAAAAATATCACAGCTACTGATAAAAAATTAAATAAAACTGTCAGTATGACTAAAATTGTGGATTTTGCAAAGAAAACGCGCTAGATTTCAAATTTCTTACCGAGTTTTAAAAAACCGTTTTTCTTCTTCTCCATTTTTAATTTTAATTTAAAATCTGTATTTAGATTCACAGCTTTTGTCTTTTCAATCCAATATTGCTAAATCAAATCCATTTAATCAAATTTTCCAGGAATTTCAGAATTTAATTTCGAATAAAGATTAAAATATTGTTTACCACCAGTTCTTCCTATGGGGGTGGGAGTTTAAAAAGTCCGACGCTAGATGTCTCTGGTGTTGCCCCTGGCGGTAGAATTGAGGAACTAGACCGGGACGAGGAAGAGGATGATGGGAATGAAAAAACACCCCTAATAGACTCAGGTATCATCAGTCAACTGGAACATTTTTAACAGATGAAAAATAAAATTTAAGTCTTTATTCTAAACAAAACATATGAATACTCTTAGCTTAAATGACTGCGTTTCTAATAAATTAAGATAACCAAAAAACTGTAGAAATGGAAGACGATATTACGCAATACTGAAGTGCATGAATTTGTGTCAGATTACACTCCACGATTGCTGTGTCTCATGTTTATTGTTCCATTTAAAGTTATAACTTGAGTCTAAAAGTTGACTTCCTATTCCAGAGGTTTCTAGTTCTTACTGTATTAAGTTAATTAAAATATTTGTAGCAACCCTGGTTCTTAAAGCCAAGAGCAGTATGAAGAGGAGTACCAGCGGTGGTGTAAATGTTAGAATAGGTAAACATCTATTTACTTTGCTTGTCTTTCTGTCTGTTTGTATCCAGTAAACGTAAAAACGGCGGAACAGATCAGGCCCAAATTTGATATGACAACCCAATGACCCGGCCATGGAAAGGTTTATGGTCAATCAAAGTTTAATAACTTTGATCGGAAAATAATATTTATAATTATTTTTGAAAATGCGCCAATTCAAATATAAAAATCCGCCAAAAAGTTTAAAGCTAAAATTGTTGATAGGCAAGAAAGCCTAGGGATAAATAATTATACATTGCATATTATATAACAAAGCTTATTTTATTTGCTCGCACTTGTTTGTGCTATTTTTTTTGAAAAATGGTTAAATTTTCATTTTAAATGTTGTCCCACATTTAATGCTTTACAGGGTTGTTCATCAAAGAATAGACTTATATTAACTTCTTTAAAAAGCAAAAAATGTTTTTTTAATATTACGAACGATCAATTGTTTGATCGTTCATCGTTTGGTAACTTCCTTAAATTGACACCATCGTTCGCAAATTTGTGTGTGCCAAGTTCACTGAAAAGTTTGTAAATATGCCAATACTACTGTTAAAAATGAAAAATGTGCGGGCTGGGTACGTCCAGACTGTTCTGGTAGCCATTCTTTCTTTAGCTAAGAATTGAACTTCCCGTTTGATAACGGCATTTACCGTTATAATTCAAAGTTATTGTTCTCAATGTTATAAAAGGCGTTAACGGAGATATTTTGAAAATTGTTAACGATGCCAGCCGTTAACGAGCCTTAACAATTATTTAATGTAAAAATAGCTGGACAAACTTAAAGGAAACTTTCAAAAACACCATGGCGCGTAAAAAAAAACATCAAAATACATTTATTTTTACTTTTCAGTAATTTTCATAAATGTTTTACTATTAAAATCAACAAAATTACGTTCGTTAATGATAACAAAAATAAGGGCTTTTGCCGATAGTTAACGAACTCTTTCATTAATTTTGAAAAACATGCCGTGTGTTACTGGAACTTTGCCTAGTAATAGTTCCTGATGTTACTTCCTTGTTTAAGTTTGTAAATAAGTATTCCATTATTCAGCCCAGCAAGGATTGAACTTATTTTCTATTCTTTCTGTTGTTTAACTTTTCTCTTCTCAAGTTAGAATATTGCAAGATTTATAAACTTTACAGGATTTGAACAGAGAAAATCTGGGGGGTTAGAAAGGTTGGACTTCATGGGAAAAAATAAAGCTTTAAAGTAAAAAGATCGTTTTTTTACTATCGCTATGCCCGATGCACAGAGGTACCCTGGAAACCATTATCTGATAAATAATATCAAAAATTGAAGAAAAAAATTTGAAAATTTTTTTTTGATTTTTTTTTGCCTATAACACCCCCGGGCCACCCTTGAGTGTCCACAAAAAAATTTCAGCCTAATCGGTCCAGCCGTTTGACTGGCTAGACAACATATATAAATACGAATGTCTTGTTGAAGATAATTTTGAAGTATATGACTCTGCTAATTTCTCTATTGTTTTCCTGCAGAAGAAATGCGCAAATCGCTTTTGTAGAGAAATTGAAAATAATCAGTTTTTAAAATTAAAAACATTGATTTATAATTCTTACTTGATCAGACAAAGCTTCAAAGGATACCAATCGCTTTTGTAGAGAAACCACAATTAAAAATAATCAGTTTTTAAAATTAAAAACATTGATATCTAATTCTTACTGATCAGACAAAGCTTCAAAGGGTACCATTGTAAATCGGGCATTGCCATTTTTGCATGAAGGGTCACTTGAAATTACAATTTACTTAAAAAAATTTTAATTTAACTCTTTGGGGAAATGAAAGCTCCCTTTTAAAGCCTTTTCAACTTTAAGTGTTCAATTAAGTTCTAAGTCGTAATATAAACATTTGAAAACTATCCTTTAGAAGAGAAGCATGGACAAATTTAAAACTGTCTGTTATTTGGAATGAATATCTTCACGTCAAGCTAAAAAAAACGTAAGATTAAAAATGTTTTTATCATAACTCTTTTAATTTATAAAAACAAAAATGTTTTAAATTTCTAATAAATAACCAAATACTCCTTCACACCTGTGCATTAAATTAAAATTAGAAGAGATATGATGTCACAAAGCTGTACTGATGTTCCATTAGATTATTTCTATTAGATATGGCAAACATCATTTTAATAAAGTTCAATAGAGAAATGCTTGCATTCTTCTAGCATAAACTTCCAAGATAAAACTCACTTTAAAAAGTTTTTCAATTAAGCAGAAAATGCAATCTAGATTTCGAAAGGAAATATAAAAAATATGCCATCGGAACTCTTGTGTGGATACTGATCTTGAACGTCTGATCTCAATATCCAATATAAAATTGGGCACTTTTGAGATTAAATGTTAAGTTACATTTTTTAAAATCATATCGTCATCGTCATATATATAGTCATATTGGAAAAACTAAATATCAGTTGCAGTCACGGTTTTTGACCTGTAGCCCTAACTTTTGGCAAAAACCCTTTTTTGTTAGGAACATGACATCTTAGGGAGAAGGGGAGGGGGGGGGCAATTAAAAAGTAATTTTTGACGTAGAAAGATACAAAATAAAAAAATATAATTTGAAATTTTCTAGGATTGGAAGATGAAGAAGAGAGAACCCCCTTGATTAGACAGCTATCGGGGGAAAATATTAGGTAACAGAGCAAACCATCTATTTAACAACTTTTTTTTATAAAAATCAAATCAATTATGAATTAATAATTGTATAAAAAATTTCAACTACAGGGACTGTAAGCGTATTTTCAAGTAATCCTCAATACACAGATGTTAATATCTGATTCACAACGGTACCCTTAAAAAGATTGGTCTGATTAAGTACGATTTAGATATCCATGTTTAAAATTTTAAAGAATGATTATTCTCAATTATGATGTCTATACAAAAGTGACTTGAGCATTTCAACTACAGGAAAACAAATAGGAATTATGAGAATTAAACATTTTTAAATAAACATCTTTCACATAATTTGATTATATAAAGGTTTACAGGGTACCATTGTGAATCGGAATTTGCCATCTTTGCATGGAGAGTCACTTGAAATTACGCTTACAGTCCCTTTGATAAATCATCTGTCGGATAAATCCATTGATGTGCGCGCAATGAAATATTTGACATTTTTTATTTACTTCAATCTTCTACTTTATTAACTTGCATTGAGCATATTTAATCTACATCATAAAGTATTTATTGTCAAATATCAACCAATATTAATTTTCTTCTTTTCTATTAAAGCACATAACTTTTATAATAAAAGACAAAAAAGAAAAATTTCTGATGATTGTTTATAAAACTGTCAGCTGGTTTAAACTCTGTGTTCTGATTAGTCCACTGTCCGAATTATTTTGGCGCATTTCTGCCTCAAAATTTGCCGCCAAATTTTTGCAGTTTTAATGGCGGATTTTTTATTTAGAAGTGGAGTGCTCAGAAATAATAACAGACCAAGAACTCAGCAGAGGTAATCTAAAAATATTATTCAAATATTGACCAATCCATTTTCATCTAGATATTTTCTATTATCATTTATTTTGATATATCTATAAAAAACCCGAATTTCAATTTCCTAGGATCGAAAGTTTGTTTACATTTATTCTTGAAGAGACTTACGATATCTTGTTAAAAAATATTGTGATTGTGAATCGATCATTTTTGGAATCAAGCCAATCGCCAATGAAAGTGTGTGAATTGTGAAGCTAAACTTAAAATAAAAAAATAAAAAATATCAATTTTATTGAGTTGAGGTCAACCCCCGTTTAAAAAACTTTTTTATTCTTTTTGGTTCCACTTAAATTTGAATTCAATGTTTCAAGATTTAACCAGCGCTCAATTAAAGCCGGTTTTGGGCATATTTGAGACGTGACTCAAATTCATTAAATTCGGAAACAAAAAAGGAAAAAATAAAACTTGAAATTTTTCCTAAAAATTTAAGAATCAATATTAAAAATAAAAGATGATGATAATGAAAATGACAATGATAATAATAATTATAATAATAATGATAATAATAATAATATTTTAGTGTACGGATTGATACTGATGATTATCCTTCAGAACCCAGCGATTCATCAAGAGGTATTATATTTATAAAATAATCAAGAAAAATTGTATAGTGTAGATTTATAAATTGAACTGAATACTCGCCCCAAAGGAATTGAGTCTTTGACACAAACTCTGATTTTCTAATTCCTATATCTCTGCAACCCAATGTCGTAGACCTTAGATATTTCAAACTAAGAATTCTGTTGCGTCAAATTATCTTAGTTTGAAATATCAAAAATAGGGATTAGAAAATTTGAGTTTGTGACAAAGACTCAATTCCTTCAAGTATTCTAACCCTAACTTTTGTATGGATAATCGTTAATTATGAACGCTTGATCTTAATATTTACTTTTTGATTTGAGGATCAATGCTTGATCCCTGAATTAAGTCCACCTCGGATATCACAGAGTTAGTAAGCTGCCAAAATAGATTATAAAGGTTAACATGGCGTCCATACAAATTGAGAAAATTGCAACGTACGACTTAGACCGTAAAAAATCAATTTAATTTCAAACAAATCATTCAGATATTACAACCTATAGTCATCGATTATCTTTCGCCACATTTATATATAGTTGATTTTTCATAATATGTTTTAAGTGTTATGATCTGAGAGTTACTCATAAAAACATTTATTCCTGTTTCGAGGATTTTTGGTAATGAAGACGACATTTTCATATTTTCCAGGAATGTTCGAAAACAAGTTGTAAGCTAAATATTATTGTAAAAAACAAAATCAAAACTAGTATGAAATATCAAATATATACAAATGTGGCGAAAGATAATCGTTGACGATAGGTTGTAATATCTGAATGATTTGTTTGAAATTAAATTGATTTTTTACGGTCTAAGTCGTATGTTGCAATTTTCTCAATTTGTATGGACGCCATGTTATTCGGTATGAGACGTCTTTAACAATTTTCTCCTTATAGACGCAACAGATAGAAGTAAGATTAGTAGCGATCAAAAGCGCTTTTTTATCGCATTAAGCCTATACCCCTTTTCATTTTTCGCGAACACTCCCTTTAAGAATACAACACGAAAGCTCCGATTCCGATTATTCCTTCATATTTCGAACTAAAAATTTGGTCAGATAAAAAGTCAAAGTCTAAAATATAAATAGTTGGAGCAATCATACTGGAAAGAAATAGGGATTCATTTTTGAAACGTTAATAAGGAGAAAATTGACCCCTAATTATAAACAAATAATACAAGAGTTTTACAAGTGAGAAAAGCTAAAAAAAGGAAATACTAAAACTTCATTCAAATAAATTTTTACACCTTTATATTAATCATTTATAAAAATTGAAGAAAAAAAAATAAAAAAAAACTCTCTGAAAAATATGTTTAGATGAACAGACCTTTTGTTGGATTCATCTGAATCCTTTTGCTGGATATTTAATTAAATTACGTTTTATTCATATTTGTTCGTCGGAAAACTTTTTATTTTTATTTTTTTTAAATTTAAAAATAATTTGAAAACACATAAATCCTAAACTGGAAAATATTTTGCAGATTCTAACTTTATAACTTTTACAAGCCTGCAGGGAAATTTAATCTTTTAAAAACTCAAAAAAAAAGGAAAAAATATGAAATATCTGGCTTGCTAAAAGTCAAATAAAAATTAAAGTAAATTAATTAATCGACTCGTTAATATAGCTTAATGGATAAGTAAAATTTAGATGTTTTTTATTGTAAAATATATAAAAAATGAAAAAATATAATTAACTACATTTGTAAAGTATAACGTGCTGGTACAGGATAATTAAATATATTTATTTAGTATAACGTCCTGGTGCGGGATAATTAAATACATTTGTTAAATATAACGTGCTGGTGCTGGATAATTAAATATATTTATTTAGTATAACGTGTTGGTGCGGGATAATTAAATACATTTGTTAAGTATAACGTGCTGGTGCTGGATAATTAAATATATTTATTTAGTATAACGTGTTGGTGCGGGATAATTAAATACATTTGTTAAATATAACGTGCTGGTGCTGGATAATTAAATATATTTATTTAGTATAACGTGTTGGTGCGGGATAATTAAATACATTTGTCAAGTATAACGTGCTGGTGCTGGATAATTAAATATATTTATTGAAATAAATAAATATGTTTACGGTATAACGTGCTGGTGAAGGATAATTAAATATATTTATTTAGCATAACGTGCTGGTGAAGGAATTAAATATATTTGTTTAATTTAACGTGCTGGTAAAGGATAATCTATTTATAAATTTGGCTTGTCTGTCTGTTTGTATGTTTTGGTGTCTGTTTGTTTGTTTGTATCCAATAAACGTCATAACGGCTAAACCGATCGGGCCCAAATTTTTTGTGGGACATCACGTGACCACAGGGAAGGTTTACGAATGATAAAAATTAAAATAATGTGCTTTAAAGGTTTTTAATTTTGTAAAAATTTAAATTCTTGAAAATCGGCGATTTTTTTTAAATCCGCGAAATTTTTTTCTTCTTTGTTTTAAAATGTAAACAAAAAGAACATGTTCACTTCACAATTTAAATAGAAGAAAGCCTAATTAAATATATTTATTTAGTAAAACTTGTTGGTGCGGTAGAATTAAATATATTTAATAAGTGTAAGGTGCTGGTGAAGGATAATTAAATATATTTATTTAGTATTACGTACTGGTGAAAGCTAATTAAATATGTATATTTAGTATAACGTGCTGGTGAAAGATAACGGAAACGGAAAGAAACTAATTCAAACAGTTCGATGTAAAGGTGATTGAAGATAGTGGCGCAACGTGGATATTTTCAACGGGGGGGGGGTTATGGGTTTAATTAAAAAAAAAATTCTCATTATTTTAAAGAAGTGAATCTTCTTAATGTGTTCATGCCATTTCTGTATTTTCAAGATCAAATGATCTAAAAAATTGATTATAAATATATTTGAAAATTACAAGCATTTGTTAGACCTTAATACAGGGTTACCAACAAAAAAACAAGACTGTAAAGACGACAGTTGAAACTTTTCAAATATCTCAAATTCAAATCAAGTCTGCTGCCTTGAATGTGGTCTAAAAACAGCTTATTTAATGATTTGGGAAAGATAGAAAGAAGTTTAAATCATGAAGTTAAGGAAACAGACATTAAAATGATTATTCTTTATCTCTGAAGTCTCATCCTTTGTGGGTAACCCTGTCAATCTTATTAGTTGGAATGCAACAGAAGACGATATTTAAAACCTTCTTCAATATTTAGATTATGACAGTGTACGGGAGGCTGAGAGGAAGAGGCCGGGGTTTGATAAATCCTCGGATCTTGAATGCAGGCGGAGATCCACTATAACTGTCCAAGGTAAATTCGAATACGTCAAATAATGTCGTCTTCGTCAATGTCGTCCTCAAGGAGCAAAGACTTCAGTCGAGAAAAGGCTAAAAGCCTAATGATAAAGTCATACAATCCTGTCATCGTCGTATATATCAATACAATGAAGACAACTTTCGATTTAAATTTTTAATTTCTTTAAATCTTTCAAACAGCATGTATGGAAACAGAGAGAAGCTGTCAATATAACATTTTTTTTGTTTACTTATAAACTTTAATAATTTGAAAAGCTTATTAGAAATCAATTCTGAAATAGAAAAGTCGGCTTCATTTTGTTGATGTTATTACCAATCACTGTAAAGTAAAACCCTAAATAAGCCATACATCATCAAATGTCGTATTCTTCATTTTTTGATAATGGAATGTTGCAGATATTTAGTTTTTTATTAAATGATTATATGCAGCACTTTAAAACTGTTCCCGCATATTCATGGCTATTTATTTATTTTCGCAAATACTGAGATTTATGTAAAATAGTATAAAACCGGCCCATAGAAAAATTGTCAAGACGATATTTGATAAATTCTTTCGATGTTTTGCAATTATTTAGGGTTTAACTGTATATATTTTTTCTACAGAAATCATTGTTGTTTTATATAAATATATATCAGTAAATCAGCACAAATTTTATTTCTATCTGATTTTTCTGTAGTCTCGGCTTATGCTTTTCAAAGAGTTTGAGGAAGTTTTTTCTTAAACAAATTAAAACATATTACATTTTTTAAAAATTATTACAGGACGCCCACTGCCAAAAAGAAGACATTCCTACGTAATAGGAGGTAGGGATATCTGAGCCAGCGATTTAAAAAATTCAAGAAAATACGGCTCGGGTCTAAGTTGGGCATCTTACGGCTTGAGCTTTCGGATTCAAGCTGCATCTTATTTTCCACAGAGTTCAGTTTAAAAAACCGGTTTAATATTCTATTTGGCAGATTTTCATGGTAGGATGGCGCATTCCGGGTTTTGATGAGAAAAAGATTCAACGTTGAGCCTAATTTTCCACTTAAACCAACCAAGGTCGGTTTTATTTTCATTGGGCCTAACTCCTTAAGTCGAGCCAAAGATCTTCCCGCTGTCAATCACGTGACACAAGCTGTCGTCAGAGTTGGGTCGAAGATGGACTCTTAAAGTCGGGTTTAAAAAATTACGGCTCGAGTCGGAGTTTTTAAATCGCGGGCTCAGGATAAAAATAAATAAAAACATATCAATATATCAAACATATAATAATAACAATGAAAGGATGAATAAAGAATGAACAAATAAATAAATGAGAATGAATAAATAAATAAAAAAGTATGGAATAATTAAAAATGAATGAATTAATGAATACCAGGATGAATGAACGGTTAATTAATATAGGTGAATGAATGTATAAAGGAAGTAAGGATGAGTTGATGTAAGGATGAATAAAGGAAGGATGAATATGTGAAAGAATGCATAAATGAATTAATAGATTAATAGTAAATATAATTATATGAATGAACAAAATAAAAAGATGAAAAAATGTAAAAGAAAATGTAAAACGGGAATAAAAAAGAATAGAAAAATAGAAAATATAAAAATATACAAATAAACCATCAAAGACTGAGGAATCACTATTTATTGGAGTGGAAAATCAGAAATCGTGCACATTTCTCAACACACACATTTCTCATTAAAAAGCTCTTACATAACGAAGACGCTATCCTAAGCAATTCTCAAGTTTAGAAACTACTAAAGTAGAATTCCATATATTTTGTTTATTTCTGCAGTCAGACTCAGACTCAGCACCGCATACTTAAATTCAACTTTAAACTTAGTTAAGTTGGAAACTTGAGCTCTTCAGGCAGATTTTTGGGAACTAATTATCATGCAGTTTCAATATGTTTTTACATTGTCCGTCTGTATGTTTGTTCCAAGTTTCAATATGTTTTCACATTGTCCGTCTGTATGTTTGTTCCGAGTTTCAATATGTTTTCACATTGTCCGTCTGTATGTTTGTTCCAAGTTTCAATATGTGTTCACCATAGATAAAGATAGATTGCGCATAAGACGACATTTTTCATCTTGAAAGATATAAATGTACAAAGATGTTTTAAGGATATTCCTATTATATACAGTGAAACCCTTAATAACGAATACGTCAGAAGAATTTATCAAATGTCGTCTTGACAATTTTTCAATGAGTTTTATACTATATTTCGTAAATTTCAGTATTTGCGAAAATAAATAAATAGCCATGAATATGCGAGAACAGTTTTAAAGAGCTCCATATAATCATTTAATTAAAAAACTAAATATCTGCAACATTCCATTATCAGAAAGTGAAGAATACGACATTTGATGAATTCTTTCGATGTATTCGTTATTAAGGGTTTCACTGTAGATTAACTAGGTCGGTTGTGAACATTGGCTGTTTTTATGTTATTCAGTATTTGTGGTGTACATGAGTTCTGTAGAGAGAAATTTAAGTTAGTTTAGTCGTTATCATGTCCTTCTTCAGTTCTCGTGAATATGATATATTGCTCTGTGAAATAAAATTCACTCCTGAGTGGTCCGATAATTATGCAATCCATTAAAACACCAAACCACCTCGCTCATCATTGAAGTACACTTTGACCCCTAGAAGTATGAGTTCGCTGACTGTACAATTCTTGGTGATTTTGCGTACATTTTGTTTAAAAAAGAGACAAAAGTAATTGAACTAGCCACTGCTGGTTCTACGACTTTTTGTGCCACAAAATCAGTAGGAACAATACCACTTAGTTTTACGTAAAGTCTGACATCGTCAACCTTGTTGCACCGGCGAGTCCTATTGAGTGTCTGCTTTATTTACCCAATGTCCGGGCGATACAGTACAAACTGGGAAAGGTTGACCCGGCTCGGAAATTCAAATGTACTACGGCTGCCAGTGCTATTTCTAAGATTGCCTTCCTTATCCAGTTTATTTTGCCGAACACTGTCCCTAGATATAAATATTTGCATTGTTATCTATATTCATTTTAGGCTCATCATCAGTTTAACATTATTTCTTCATTATATATCATTTATGTTTAAAGGGACTGTAAGCGTAGTTTCAAGGGAACCTCCATGCAAATATGACAATGGAAACTATTATCTGATCCATAATGTGGATGATATTGTCGTTTTTTTAGGTAAAACAGTGTTTAATTCTGATAATTGCCCACGTTTTCCCCGCAGTAGTAATTTTGTAGAGAAACCATGATTGAAATTAATCAGTTTACAAATTCATTCTTCATTATACTTCGCTTTTAGCGGTGATTCGGATATTGACATCTTTGCATGGAGGGTCACTTAAAACTACGCTAATAGTCTCTTAATGTTAATAATTATCATGCAGATAAATAGAATAGAAATTACATTTACATAACCAATATCTTCGACTCTAGGGCAAATACACTTTACAGGGACGGTATAGTTTGTAATATCTGAATGATTTGTTTGGAATTAAATTGATTTGTTTACGATCCAAGTCGAATATTGCAACTTTCTGAATTTGTATCGAAGCTATGTTCTTCGGTATGAGATGTTTTTAACAATTTTCTCCTTATAGACAAAACAGATAGAAGTAAGATTAGTTATAGCAATCACCATCGAATATTTTTCGACGTAAGCCTATACCTAGGGCTGGGGCACGTTCCGACTTTTTTTTTAAATCGTTCCGTTTCGCTCTAGATCGTATCGTCATTGTTTGTTCTACTTCAAATCATTCCATCCACATTCTGTTCCGTTCTGTTCTTGGTGTTCTTAATCGATAACGATCCATCCCGTTCCACTCCGTTCTTTGTGTTCTTAGTCGAGAACGGTTCCAATCAAAGTGTAAATAAATTATTTATGTAATTTTCTTAAGTGGACTCATCCGACACTCCCTCTTAATACTATTGTATATGAGCTTTAAGGGGTGAAAAATAGAGATGGAAACGTTTTTAAAATATTTATATTTTCATAGGATTTATTATTTAAATAAATCTATATTTACACTGAATAAAAACTTTTTTAGTAAAGGGAAAAAGTGAGATTTTTTAGTTTTTTTTTATAAGATGTAATTATACTTAAATGGAATATATATATGGCTATGTTCAAGTGACCCTCCATTTATAGAATGGCATGTCAGATGTACCTTTTGTAAAGAAACCACAAATGAAAATAATCAGTTTTCAAAATGGTAAATATGGTTATTAATCCAATGCTTGATCGATGCACCCAGGCCCCCTCATCGTACGCCCCTGCACTTTCCTGATTCAAAATATGACTTGGAAAGCGTTCCTGATAATAAGAAGGTGTTCCTAATTTGAACGTTCTTTTAAAGAAATTTCCGTTCGTTCCACATTAGTTCTGTTAATAATCGTTCTAGATGTTTGTTCTTTTTCTTGGAACGATGAGATCGTTTTTGATAATTTTGTACTTTCTCGTGAAAGAACAATCGTTCCTCAGGAACGACGCCATGCCTATACCCCCTTTAATTTTCCACGTACACTCCCTTAAATTTTTATTATTTTCGTTATCAATCAATCACTTCTCCTCATTACTTCTAATTGTCTCTGATGAATAAATTCACAAGTCATCCTAAAGAAAAATGAAAGATATTTATAACGAAATTGGTCTAAAAAGTCATTTATGATTTAATTTGAAATTTGTTTGTTTTGACTTGTAAAAAGCGTTTGACTATTCAACATTTTACACATTTAGTTTTGGTTCAAAATAAAAGGCAAAAGCATAGTAATTTTACTTTTTAAACTTTTTTTTTTAATCTACAAAAATTATTTGTACACTTTCCTCTGAAATCAACCAATTTAGGTTGAAAAGAAAAAAGAGGTCTCTATGTACGTTTATTTCATAAGAAGTAATTACATAAAGGTTTATAATTATAGCTGATAACGTTGATTAAAATTCCTGTTATTATTCTTTATTCTCACAAATAAGCTCCAATAAGCGGATATACAGGGTGTGCCATGGAAACATTACAGTAGCAAGATGACTTGAAAGTCGTCTTTGAACTTTTAATTTATTTGTTACATTCAACCTTTTCACATTATTCTTGAAACAATAACCACAACATTCTCCCAGTCCTGGCATTTCTAAAATGTGGTCTGCCTTTTTTTTGCTGTCAATATTACCGTTGATATTAAGAATTTCGTTCAGATTTTAATTTTATTAAATAAGATAACAGATTTTGAAATTGAAACGACATGTTTCATATCTTCGGTAATAATGAAAGCACAAAAAAGGCAGACCACATTTTGGAAATGCCAAGACTGGGGGTACTTTGTGACTATTAACTCTAGAATTTTACTAATTGGATTAAGTTTACGAATAAATGCCGCAAACTAATTCCAAGATCAAATACGACCTTTAATACATCTTGCTACTGTCATGTTTCGCGGGACATCCTGTAACTTTTAACCCCTTTGAAAACAGATTTTACTTAAAACTGAGCACTCATTATCCAGCAAACATCCAGAATTCATCAGTTAAAAAAATGTCTATAGTTTCCATTGATATTTCACCATTTATCTTAAAATCTGATGAAATATCGATACAAATTAAACCATGTTTTAAGGCAGTCCCTTGCTGGCAAAGAAAAAAAAACTTTTTGAAATTCTAATATATAAAGGGTATCGATGGAATTAAGTCTTTGCCACAAACTCAATTTTTATAATCTCTATATATTTGCAACCTGATAGTGTAAACCTTAGATATTTCAAACTTTGATTATAATGAGTTTTTGGCAAAGACTTTACTTTATTTCTTTACTTTTCTCCTACTTGCAGTCGCGTAAAAACATTTCATGTTTTCGCGGACTCGTAACAAAGAAGAC